CAATGAGATATACTTGTAATGTGACAAAATAGGGAAAAGTTCAAGGGATATGAATGCTTTTTCTTCCCACTGTTTGAGTTAAAACTATGTAGGTTTATGTGCAAAATTGGTGAAAAAATGATATCCTCATGTTTTCTGTATTACAGTTTTTCTCAGTTGGTTTGGTGCTTTTCTCAGAACAGAATTAAAATTCACAAAATCTTCTTGTTCAATCTTCACATTATTGTGCCTCTTGAACACATCAGAAAAGAAGTTTATCATTTATTTCAACAAGTTACAAATACTTTTTTACATTTATACAGGTGATTATATCTGATTCTCTGATTCTTCTTACATTTTCAATTACTTGCCTCATGTTCATAAAAATGTATTATGTGTCTCTGTTGAATCATTTCAGCCTACACAATATTTAAACATAAGTTTGGTTTTCCGATTGTCTTATGTTCCTATTTCTACTGTGTCTTTTTTTTCTTTGTGCTCTGCAGTTTTGTCTTGTTCTTCCTGTACAAAAATGACATGGTCTGTCAACAAATTACACTAAAAGGATAAATGTGAATTTTGCAGTCTCTTGCCATTAACCTCTCACAATTACAATTTACAATACTTATCAAAACTTTAGCTGTAGTTTACAACAGAACATCCCTTCACACTGTTATATTGACAACATGACCAATTAATTTGACTGTCACAATGAAATGAGAACTTTTAATTCTGCGGTATTGGCACTTTCGTTGACTCAGATGTTCAATTTTGAGAAAGAAACTGGCTTTTGCAGATGATCCAAAGTGTTTCGCTGTTTGTAGAAATTACTTTGAAAAACGCACCTTTTTGCAAATGTCAAGAATGATTTGAGAAATGCACCGAAGCAACTAAAAAAAGACTAACATCTACAAGCTCAGTTTTTTGTGACTCTCCTTTGACTCACATAGGAACATGATTCCGGAGAACTTTCTTCAGGCTTTCTATGAGCAAGTATGTTTTTATTCAGAACCGCAGCTCACTGTGTACATTCACATTTTGGGTTTGTAAAATTTCCACAGTTTATTTATTTTCCTTTCAGTACAAGACTTCCATTGTTCAAATTAAAAGAAAAGACTCTGTCCACAATATTAGTCAGGTGAGTACTTATTTATTTATTTATTTTTTCATCTTTGTTCTTTTTCTACAACACCTTCCAAAAGTCTTCACAGTCCTGGAGCTTTTTCACATGTTGTCAATTTACAATCACCAACTTTAATTTATTTTGTTTAGATTTAAAGTAATCAACAAACACAAGAGTACTTGATTGTAAACAGGAAGAAAAAGAAGGGGAGGCTTTAAAATTTTTCCAAATTAAAACCTGAAATGAGAGGTGGTGTTTGTGTTCAGCCCACCGGGGGAGGCAGTTGTGCCTTTCTGGAGTTGTCTTTGGGTGAGGGGTACATCACAGGGGAACACAGAGTCAGCATGGTTCTCTGAGGTTGTATGAGGGCTGGTTCTCAAATCCAGCCCTGGAGGACTGATGTCCTGCAGGTTTTAGATGCGTCTCCATTTCAGCACCTCTGAATCGGGTCATTAACATGACTCCAGAGCAGTGTTTCCCAACCTTACGGCACACTGGTTTGCATTGCTTAGATGTTTCCCTGCCTCAACACGCCCTATTCAGATGATTGAAATTCAGCAAAAGCCTGTTAATCAACCATCAATTGAAATCATGTTTCCTGAAGCAGGTAAATGCATAAAACAAGCAGGGCAGTGTGCCGTGAGGACCAGGGTTGAAAAACACTGCTCTGTTAACCCATCAGTTAATCCATCAGTGCACACACACACAAACTTACACTGGTGGGGTTTCGAGGGATGATGGTGCCCATCTCCAACGATCAACTTAAGGAAACCCTGGACAGGTCGTCAGTCAATCACAGTGTGTACAAACAATAAACATCCAACGAAATATGTTAAGGTGAAATAGAGGAAGAAAGTCATGTTTCACATTAATAGTGGCACTGAATGTGGAAGATGCATCATTCATCAACTAATTCTGGAGGGAACTAATCTGCTAAATAGTCAGAGCATTATGCTTTCAATAAGCAGCTCTTTATTTAGTTTCTTTGTTTTATTTTGCAGAAAAAATACTAAAAGACTTAAGTGATGAAAAAAATTGTTTAAATACACAAAAAAATTTTTTTAGGTTTTTATATATAAAACCTAAAATCTATAAGACCTACTGAATTTGTTTCTTCCCATCTCACAATCTGGACTGGTTCTTTTGCCAAATAAATTTTTACAAAATAAATCAAAATAAAATATATTGAAGTTTAGGATTTTAATGTGACTTATTGTGGAAAAATGATATTTATTGTCCAATGACGATGTACTTCTACAATATTACTCTAAGAGTGTTAGAGCAGTATATTTATGTTTTTTTTTGTTTTGTTTTGGGTTTTTTTGCACAGAATGCCACTGACATTAAACTGATAGGCAAGTATATTGCTGGAGCCAACATGGTAGGACTGGTCATCTGGTCTTTTGTCATCGGCATCTTGTTAAACAAGGCGGGACGCCAGGCCAAAGTCGCTGTGGAGGTCATTCATTGCCTCAACAGTGCAATAAAAGTCATATTTAACTGGATCCTGTGGTAAGATCAAACAGCACATAACTTCACTCTTTTACCAAATTAGATGCATTTTATTATGAATATTCCCTCTTTTATTTCCGGTCAAGCACAAGAGGAAGTCACCAGTTCTATACCTTTGAAATGTCATTTCAATTCTTGTATTTACAGCAAGAATAACTGTTAACTTTCTAAACAAAATTAGTAAAGCAAAAATTTGAAACACCTATTTTATTTAACGTCCTGACTGCTTTTTGTTTCAGGTACCTGCCATTAGGGGTGTTCTTCCTGGTTGCACACCAGGTGCTGGAGATTCAGGACTGGGCCGCTATCATTAAACTTACAAAGCTTTCAGGGCTGGTTCTTTTGGGGTAGGTATACCACCTCTGTTTCAGATTTATTAATAAATTGAAACCACGGCTCCTGAAGTAGCAGCACTGAACTCTACATAAGAAGGAGAGAAACTGCTTTGAATGTATTTACAGAACAGTATCACTGATTTTACTGAGATTTCCTTTATGTTCAGAGATCAGTTCTTATGAATACAATTATTGTCAGCCTCTTTACTCTGATACCTCCAAACATCCAGTCCGGTTCAAGCAGTGGACTGGATGAACTGAACAAGGCCAAAGGTTGGTTAGAGAATATAAGGGAACAAACGGCATCATGAAGACCAAGAACCTCAGCAGACACATCAGGGACAAAGTTCTGGAGAAGTTTGGAGCAGGGTTAGTTTCTAGAACAATATCCCAAGTTTTCAGATAAGGAAAAGGCTTAGAGTCTGAGCTCCACACATATCAATCCTGGGGGAAAAAATGTCTGTTAGAGGCAGCAAAATACTTTCGACTGTGGCAAAGTCCATCTTCCTTCAGCACAATAACTCTAAACCTTCAACTAAAGAGAGCATGGAATGGTTTAGATCAGTCGTCTCAAGCTCCACTCGTCAAGAGTCGGTGTCCTGAAACTTTTAGGTGTTTCTCTGCTTCAGCACACCCTGGCTCCACTATAGGCTTATTAGCAGATATATGTAGATCTTGTTCTGTCCCAGTACACGCACTTCCACCCTTGTGTCCTTCAAATTTTCATGGTGAAAGGTTTGAGTGTGTCTCACGTTCTCCACATCTGGCCTTCGCCCCGCCCATTTTGGGTTCTGTTTATGTCCTTATATGTGTTACGCACATTTCATTGCGGCATGTGACGTTTTGAGTTAAAAGGTGGAATTGTGGCAATGTTGTGGCAAGGCTCACATTAGTAGCAAAAAAGTTTGATATGATAAACTGAGCAGAGAAAATAAGAAATAAAGAATAGGTACAGTAGCAGGGAGGAAAGTAAAGCAAAATGTTACAAATGCAAGACAAATTTCAAATCTTAAATTGAGCTATTAACATCTTGGTAGAAAGATTGGGCATTTGGTTTTGCAACATTTAAATACTCTCTTCATTAAAATTATTTCACTTTTAAAATATTTTTAAATAATTTTTTTCAGTATTTTTTCAGTATTTAATCTCCTGGCTAGTAATTTAACCAGGAGATTAAATAATTAATATCATAATTTAACTCTTCAATCCAAGACTACATTTTATTATATTAAAAATTAAAGATGTACAATATCCACTTTTGAAAATCTTTCTAAAAACCTTAATGAATTTGCAATTGAACAAATGTGTATTTTCTCAAAATCTCTGTCACAAAACGCACAGGAATTGATATTTATTTTTGCATTTATTTTTGCAGAAAGTCATTACAGGGAAAATTTTGTACAGAATTGTGAAATTAATATCTTAAATTTTTTGCGGGAGTGGAATGGTTCTTATGTTCTTTGGAGATCATAATTTTTAAACAAATGTTTTCTTCTCAGGAAAGAGGGGAAGAAAATTGATGTAGGAGTTCCTGATGAATTTCTTATGACGATTTTGGCCTATAAAGTCACAACATTCATAGTTTCTTTTGAGAAGGAGATTTTAGTTCCAGCAGTCTTTCCTTTTCACAATGTAGCATCAGGCTGTTTTCTAGTTTTTATATATGCAGTATGTTTGTCCTTAACTTGATCTTTTGAGTTACAACTGAAGATGTAATCATGTCTCTAATTAGTCAAATTTCAGACTGTTAAATTGAGTATTAACACATTTTAATGTGTATTTTTTTGCCATCTCGGAAATGTCACAATGTTCACACAAAAAACTGTCGAAGAAAAAAATAATCAGTTTTCAAAAGTGAAGTACTGAACTACTTTTAGTTTCACTCCACTGAACATGTGTGAGTCCATCAATTTTTTTTTTCTGTATTCAACAAGTCATAACAAAACACATTATAACAGTCAAATACATCCAACGATGATTCTGGAAAGCAAAAATACCTACACTGGATGTCGACGTTTCCACTCAGGGGCGTACTGTCCCAATTCTCTCATTTTTGCCTGCTTGTAATCTGCACACTCGAACCCTTATGTGCACTTTGATTGAGTTCACACTTCACAGAGTGGTGTCGGGGCTCGGTTGAGTATTGGAACTGGGCCCTTGACTGCATGCTAGTGATGCCGTTCAGCCATTTAATTCAAGTGTGTAGGACAAGGGAAACTTCTAAAAGTCTGGTACACTGGCTCTTGAGGATCAGAGATCACCAGTTTATCCATGTGTTAGAAAGGTCTAGTCAAATCCAGACCTATAATCATTTGATAATTTGTGGCGAGAAGCTTTGTGTTCACACTCTACATCCAGTCTGACTTCATGCTTTTTGTGGAGAGGAATGTGACAAATGTTGTTTCTATGAAAGAGCAAAGCTGGTGCAGACATAACCCATCAGGCTGCTGCTGGAACTGCAGCAACAGATTGATCTATAATCTATAATGTATAATGTTGATGTACGAACATTTTCATAGATGAATGGTTACTGTGAAACCATGCACTAAGGTGTCTGGTATTACCATGACAAAATGTATAAAAGTATCAAAGTTAAAGGCCAGTGGAGACTTTGTCTTAATAACACTGAGCATGACTTTTTTTGTCTCTTCCAGGCTTGTGATCCATGGCTTTGTATTTCTACCTGGGCTTTATTTCATAATCCTCAGACGGAACCCTTTTGTCATCTACAAGAAGGCCTCAAGGGCATTGATCACAGCACTTATTATTGCGTCCAGGTGAGATGTTCTGCTTGTTTCTTGTCAGAGTGCAGCACTTTTCTAGAAAAGTGTCCACACATCACCAATAAAGGATGTGCTTTCTGCCAAAGCTCTGCCACTCTACCTGTCACCTTTCAATGCTGTGAAGAGAAGATGAAGGTCAATGAGAGAATCTGCCGCCTCATTCTGCCCATCGTCACCACCATCAACATGAATGGGACCGGACTCTACGAAGTGATCGCTACCATCTTTGTTGCCCAGATTAATGACATCGTGCTGGATATCGGCCAGTTAATCTCCATTGGGTAAGCTGCTTCCTAGTTGTGCCTGGAATTAAGAAAGCAATGAATAGTGGAATTGTTAAATTGTTTTTCTTTTTCTTATAGCAACCAATGAACTATGTTACCTTTAATTGTTATAAAAATGCGATCAATATCCAATACAAATTAAAAGAAATTCAGCTTTGATATTTAATGCCTTGAAATTGGCCCTTTGTCTCTTTAAAAGTTGTACACTTTGAAACTCTGCCTTCAGAAAGTCATCACAACTCCTCTATTAACCTTTTAACTAAGTTTCTACCTGTGTTGCACTCAGAATTAGCTCATATACTGAGCTCAGTAAGTGCACAGTTCCACGTGTTTGTGTTTGCTAATTGCTGCTGGCTAGTCTGAATGAGCTGAGTGTGAGAGTTGGGTGAACATCAGTTCTTTTATAAACAGTTTGTGCAAGTTTGTGCAGATTGAAGTCATGAAAATAAGAGTTGATGATGACTGTCGGTAATGAAATTGATGTGCTAACTATCTAGCAGACTAGATAGTTGGCACATTTTGCTCTAGTCTTACTTTTCGTATTTCAACAGTACACTTTGTCTAACAGCGCCCTCTGGTGATCAGAAACTAAAATAGAGGTCAGCAAGTGTGTTTTGGGAGGTGTTGTCCCAGTTCATTCTAACTAAGACCTAGTTCTAAGTGAATTTCATCAACGTTAAAATTTAATTATTTATGTTCATATGTTAGCACTTAACAATTTCAAATGAAATTCACAGATCCATCATGAACTGATGTCCAATGACCTTTGATGACCTCTAGAAACATTTTTCTTAATATCTTAGCAGCACAAACGAAAATTTTTGCTGCACAAACCATTACAAACATAGCACAAATGTTTAACCCCAGTTTTGTCTGATTTGAAGAAGGTGGGGGGAGTGGGGGGGGAGGGCAACTTCACTCAGGTACGGGAGAGGGGTACTCTGTGAGGTGGAAACTCAGAACCTTGTAAAGTGGAGCTCCAAGGTTCCAAGCTGCCACTTTCAGAGCTTTGTCCGACAGTCCCAATCAGTCCACAGAGGCACAGCTGAGTGGTTGTCATGGGAGATTAAAGGATTTCTCAAAAAAAAAAAAAAAAAAAAAAAAATAAGAAAGAATG